CATGCTTTCCCATATTTGCCTAAGCACAAAAAATAAACAAAAAGTATTTATCTGCCTATAATTCATGTAAGCCTTAGAAGGAGATACTGTTATGAAAGGCTTTCTAAAGAAACTTAGCTCACATTCATGGAATAATTTGTGAAAATTCTTTGCTGTCAACACACCAGTCACCAACAGATAAACATCAGGCAAAGTACTAGCATTATTTTTATTTAAGCCATGCAACCCCTTGTTTGTTTATGAAAGAATTTCCACCTTTATCATCTCGGTTTTCTTCAGCACTGGTAATGCTTTCCTTTGTGTCTGAAGTAACACTGGAAGTCTTTTTCAGTTTGACTTCTAGTATTATTTCAGACCTCTTTCCCTCCCCCCGGATGTGTCTCCTTACTCATTTCAGCAGCATTTGCTTCATTGGAGTTTCTTATTTCAGTGGCCTTATGTTTTGCTTCCCATTGGTTGACTGCAATCATGTCTGTAAGGACTTTCCACTGCACTTTCATTGTTTCTGCATTAAGCATTAAAAGTGAACTTCAGTTTTGCTGCCAATTGTTGGTGATTTGTGTTTCATAAAAATTCCCTTAAATAACTGTGCAGTATGAAAGGCATATTTTAATCTGTGATGAGATAAATAATAACTCGTACAGCAGGGTAAACTATAAATTATCAAAGGAAAGAAAAAACAGAGATAATGCAAAGTTCTGGAAATATTTCAGATTACCAAAATTGCTTGCAGGGTAAACTCCAAAACAATAATCACAGAACAGAAGTTCATCCATATAAACATACTAGAAGTCTCAGTCTAGTTGACTAATGGCTGTTCACAGGCTGCTGTTTATTGGGTTGCTGCTACAAAAAAAGTCTAAACATTTCTGGAGGCTTTGAAAAAAAAAAAAATCATTTCTCCTAGGGCTTTGTAAATGTATTTTCTGGAAACCCTCAGTGTTGGTGAGAAATTGCCAAATGATGCCAGCATAACAAAAAACAAAAAATTGCTAATGCCAGATAGGAGAGTTGCTGTCAATATATGCGGCTCTGCGTGAAACTGCTTTTATAAATCCTGTATTAATCCACGGAGAATTTAAAGGTCTACAGCATAATACATAAAATGAACACTTTAAAAACACAATAAATGTCCACAGTTTTAAAGTTAAATAAAGTACACAAAAAGAAATATGAAAGTATCCTGCAAAATGCATTAAATAGTTAGATAAATAAATAGAAACAATACATGGCACTACTAAAATACAATCAAATTAGAAATAAATACAAATAGTGGTAAAATTTTACAACTGTTATACTTTCTAATGCATAACATTTTCAGTGCACCATACTATAACGTCAACGATTATCACGAAAATCAGGATTTTGAAGTTAAAAGCATAAAAACCTTTATTTTTGGATTAAAATACCAATGAAAAATCTATGTACAATTTGGTTGCTGAGACAAATTCGAAGTGGGAGGTCACGTGATGACACGAGGTGAATGAAGTATTAGCCACAGTGATAGGCGTAGTGAAATCTAATTAGTACACTGATACTTGAATATAGAATTTAAATACTCATAAAATGAAAAATTAAATAAAATAGAGTCCATCATCTGACCAGGCACAAAATTCATTGCACTTTGTCAGAGAGATCACAATAAACTGTACGCTGGGGCTATGTACAATAAAATGGATCTAATTAGGGTTAAGTTGAGCGTTCTTTTAATTTTAATGTTGTGTTTTGATCTACCAATTAATTTGTAAAGTGCCATGAAGGCTTTATTGACTTTATCTACTTGATAGATGACATTATCTTTAAATGAGAGGCACTCGTCAAGAATTACTCCTAAATATTTCACTGAACTTGAATCTGGGATGATTTCATGCACAATTTAATGTCTGAGTTTGTTCATATATTTTGTTTGTATCTGCAAAATTGGATGATATTACACTTTGCTGTATTAATTTTAATCTTCCAGAATCGACACCAGGTGGTGACAATGTTGATATGAATTTGCATATTATCAAGAGTGATCTGTGGGTTTTTTTGACTAAGGGAGAATTGCTGTGCCGTCCGCATATTTTAGAGTCTTTGCATTTAGAGGATTTGGTAGGTCATTTAAATAGACATTAAATAATTTAAGAGAAATAATTCCACCTTGCGGAACACTGCTTGCCATAATTTTCTTCTGTGAGAGGGAATCATCAACTCAAACTTGAAGAAAAGTCTTTTTGAGGAATGAGATAATGAATTTTATATAGCTAACAGGAAACATGAAATTATTTAATTCGTAAATTAAGACTTCGTGGCAAACTTTGTCAAACACGTTTTCTATGTCAAGAAAACGACTTTGTGAAAAAATGCATCTGAGATGTATTCGACCAAATTCAGCACCTGATATCCCTTGTCTGATGCACACATCTCCTTCTATACTCATGTATAATGGAATGTCCATGTATGACCCTGTGACATTAAGGGTTTGGCTGAAAGGAACATTCCTGGCTGTTCACCATGGGGTTTTTCTTCAGCTGCATGGAAAGCCTAACTGCCCACATGCATGTTGAACATGCGGATTTGGTAGTCTTTACAGCACTATTTTTCTTTTGTTCCCACTTGCATGTGTCTGATAAGAATGTTGCAGATTGTTATTTGTTTGAAACAAATTTGGTAATTTTTCTGTTTGAAGTAAATTGTTTATTATATTGCTCATTTTTAAAAATGATTGCTTGGAGTAGTAGATGCTACACTGCCTCCGGCGTTGTGTATATTACATGCCATACATTCTATTTGTCCAACGTACCTGAAATTGTAATCATTTCATGTTTGTATTTTAAGGGTTCTTTAAAATAAGCCTAGGTTATCTTAGACTACGATCTCGTTATTTTTGCCTCACATTAAAATTGTAGCCGGTTTAATGTCCAGCAGCGTACGTTATGCCTTTATTTATTCCAGATTTAGAGCTTTATTTATTCTACCAAAGTAAAAAATCAAATGAGGTTTAGTTTGAAAAATGTAAAGAGTAATTGAATGTATTTGTCAAAAATTAAGCTATTTTTAAGGACCTGTTTTATTATACATTTGAGATTATTTCATATGATCCAGGTATTGATTTGTATTTGTCTTACATGCCAGAAGTTTTCTAAATTTGGTATTAGGTGGACTCAGTCTTATAGTACAAAGATGGTTCCTGATATTTCTGTATTTTCATTATAATATCGCTATATTAAGCACTAGCTATAATACGCTGCTGGCCACCATAAATGCAACACTTTGAAGGAAGCATGCAAATAACATGAAATTTACCAACATGCATTAGTGGAGGTGGGATATGCAAATGATTAGAATTTCAGCGCAGACGCACATCATGCGTGCCTGTGGCGCCACTTCAAAGCGCTATTTAAGGCTTGGAGTTTTCAACAATTTCAAGTTTGTCAATTGTGTTTTTTTTTGTGGTTTTTTATAAACAGCGATCATTGATCAAGTATCCGAGTTTGACAGAGGAAGGATAGTGGCTTACTGAGAGTGTGGTTTATCTTTCAGGGAAATCGGTAGTCGTTATGGACGAAACCAAACAACTGTAATGCGGATATGTGACCGTTGGATGCAGGAGGGTACCACGGACCGATGTGTTCGATCGCATCCACCTCGGTGCACCATTTTTCGTGATGACAAGAACATTGTGCGCATGGCAGTGATGGATCGCTCAGTCACATCACGAATCGTAGCACAGCACATTCAGTCTATAAAGCATCATCCAGTGTTTGCGCGTACCATTCGATGCCATTTACAGCAGAGTGGTCTGTTCGCAATACGTCCATTACTTCGTCTACCCGTGAAGCGTAACCACAGACGTCTTCACCGCCAATGGTGAGATAAAAGAAGGATGTGGATGGCAGAATGGAATGAAATTGTCTTTACTGATGAGTCACGCTGTTTTCTGCAACTCCACGATGGTTGGATTCGAGTCTGGAGACACCATGGAGAGAGGATGCTGAACAGCTGTGTTGAGCACCGCCACACTGGTCCTGCACCTTGTATTATGATATGGGGCGGTATTGGATATCACTCTTGCACTCCTCAATTTGCAAAACTCAAAAATACGCATTGCCGATACTTTAAATAGCCAGCGCTACATCCCCGAGGTGTTGGAGCCAGTTGCTCTTCCTTACCTTCAGGGCTTGCCCACAGCCATATTTCAATAGGATAATGCGTGACCACATGTGGCACACATTGTCCAAGGATTCTTCGTCAATCACCAGATTGAATTACTTCCATAGCCGCCTCGCTCTCCGGATCTTTCACTGATAGAAAACATGTGGTCCATGGTTGCTCAACGATTGACCCAGATTACATCCCAAGCTGCCACACCAGATCAACCAGATCATGTGGAAGCTGCTTGGTCCTGCTGTACTCCAAGGAACACATCCAAAGACTCTTTTGAATCAGTGCCGAGGCATGTGGCAGCGGTGATCTCCAACAATGGGCGGCTACTCTGGCTACTGATTCTGGAAGCAACCACACTTCACAGAAGTCTATAAATTTAATCATTTGATACTCGGTCAACATGTTATCTACTAAATAAATTTTGTTGTGATATCTCTCGTCTTTCTTGGTGTTGCAATTCGGGTGGCCAGCAGTGTATATTCCACCTAATGTCATTTATGTACTTTTCATTTCTCTGTAGGTCACTTTAGTTGTTAGGAATTATATGTGTATTTTAATTGAGAGGAGTGATATTTTAAATGATTTGATAAAGAAAATTAGTCATACCAAAATAATACTTACGTACAATGATTATTTATTAACTAATTACTTACTTTTTTACTAAATTTATGTAATAAGGTTCAGAAGTTGCCATGTTTTTCTGTATTTTTAATTATTATTTTAAATCACAAGCATTATTTCCTTTAAGAGTACCATCACTCAACTTTTACTTTCTATGTATTTCAAAGTATTATGTACATTTATATTTAAAATATTAGTTTTCTTGATTATGCATTTCTCTATATTTTCAGAGGAAAAATTTATGTTTGATGATGAGTTTAGTGATCCTGTTAATGAAGGGTAAGTTATTTTTATTGTGATTACGATTATTTGGATGTTGTGACTATTCAAGTGTGAAACGAATGAGGTTTTAGTCTAATATGAGACATTTCCTCATCAGAATGCAGATTAATAGTTTTTCTATATAACCTTAGGTTTTCGTATCTTGAGGGAGAGATTTCCTGCCACTAGCATAGTGTGCTTAGTTTCTGCCAGCTCTAGTAGTTGTAATCTATCTCTGCTTTGCATTCTCTTGCCACTAACACTTTAAACTCATGCACTTGCAATTTATGCAGTTGACTTATAGTTTAGTGTTAAACTTGAACTACTGGTCAACATTTAATTTGAATTGACTGTTCATATTTAAATTGTATTATTATGAGCTGTAATTCCTTGTAGCACAAAGTCTTGGCTTTATGTTCAAAAGTTCTGTTTAAATAAAAAGGCTGTTTTAAAAACCTTAGAACTAATCTTAATAAAAATTTCAGATGCTAATTAAAAATGAACAAGTTAATAGACTATTTTAATAAATTATTAAAAAAAATTCTCAGGCTTATTAGGACAGGAGTAGTAGACCTTAATCATCAACCATAAAATGACACATGATTGATAATTTTTACACATTAATCTAAAGCAATAGAAAATAATAATGGATTTTGGAAACCCAGATTTGGAATTTTACTTAAATTCTACATCAATTTAAGGTTGCTCTGGTTAGCCTATTAGATAAAACATTGGCTTCTGGAGTCAAAGACTTTGGATTAAAGTGTCACCAGGGACTGTGCTGTAATTGAGTTGGTATTTAAAAAGAATATGTTTACAGGAAAATTTATTAGTATTCTCAGAGTAGTGCTGATGCTTCTTCAATTTCTTGATGGTGAAATCTGAAAACCAGCTTCCCTTGCAAGACACCTTAGCATGGAGGCAACACACTGAGTAGAAAATTTGGACTGTACTAGATACTTGTATTGTGGGTTCAGGACTGGCTTTATCCAGCTCTGATTGTGCAAATACACCAATTTTTTTTATCTACCGTAACTTTTTTTTGCGCACAAGAAGTTTACATTTATTTTTCATTGAGTCTAAACATAATTTTTGATTTCCAGGCGGCATTGTGTGCATTATCCTTTGTTTGAAAATGTACCTTTGGCATAATTCATAAGATTCATCTGACCGTTCTGGTCTGATTCTGTATCGACTGATGCCAGATTAGCAAAAGTGATAATTGGTATTAGTATAAAGTTGCCGTTTTCCATAATTTAAAAAATTTACTGAGTTCTTAATTTTAAATGATTGATGACAAGTAAAAAAATATAGGAACCTTGTTAGTATGTAGCTGATTTTATGGAATGCTTCAAGGCACTATAATAGCTTCGTGTATATTTTCCTAAACATGCATGACCACTTTTTAGCCAACTTATGTAAGAACTTGTAGAGACATTCGATATTTTTTTGAAAGCAGACAAGATGAAAAATAGCAAACGCCTTCGCCGGGAATTGAACCACGGACCTCTGGAACACCGGCCCAGCGTGCAGAACCACTGCGCCATGGAAGCACGCTAGGAAAGTGGGAGAAATACCTTATATACTCCCCTTTTTAAAGGCCGACTAGGGTTTTAGGGGACCTAGTCGCCAAATCCTGGGTGCGGAGAATCATCATCCACAACCCTTTTAGCAGGCGCCACTGTAGAGACATTAGGTATTTTTTGAAAGCAGACAAGATGAAAAATAGCAAACGCCTTCGCAGGAAATCGAACCACTGGAATACCGACCCAACATGCACAACCACTACACCACGAATGATGCTAGAAAAGTGGGAGAAATACCTTATAAACTTAGCCAGAGATTTAAGCTTGATGATAATTTTTCATTAATTTAAAGAAGACCTGCATGAGCATTATCAAAGTCACTAATTGTGGAATCTAGTTTTTACAGCAGAAAACGAAATACAGTCAAAAGTCGTTAATCAGAACTCGTCGGGACATCTGCAATTCCGCATTATCGATTTTTCCGGATTATAGATCATCAGTTTAAATCTGGTAAGCTGGCATGCAGAAATTATAAAATTAAAAATATGAAACCGTAATTTATGAAATAAAGAACAATTATGATCTAAAGGGTATCAAAATTTACAAAAAAAAGCGCTTAATATTAAATTGTTTACTTTATTAAACATTTCTTTCAATGTACGTTGTTTAAGTTGCTTCGTTTTTTATGTGATGATAATACATTCTCTTTAATTCTACAATTTCTTGTTCAGTTACAAAGTTCCGCTGTTCAAGTCCCATAATTGCTGTGTCGAGAATACCGACTAATTTGTCAATCGAAATTTTTCGTTTTCAATAACCTCTGTTACTTTCTTCGCTATCGGAAGCAAATTATAATGACGAGGAATTTGATTTAAATCATATCAAAGACTGAGTACATCGAGATGAAATACTACATTTAGTAAGGAATTATAAGCCAAATAAAATAAAAACATCTGCCCTGAAGATACGGATAGTGCTGACAGATCAACTTCCAATTCATTGCGCGCCGCGGCATTAAAGATAAATAAAGTTTAGATAAACAAACGTTAAAGTTTAGATAAACAAAGGATATGCCTTTATCCATTTTTTGCAGCAATTCCATTTTTTCTTTAATGGACTTCGAAACATACCTTCGCTTTGTAGGTCCTTTACATATTAGTAAATATATATCAGAAATTCTATTTGACATAATCGAAAGTTCAAGCTTACTTTTATAAAATTGTTCTAACAGTCTGCAAAAAATAATAAGCTGAATCCAATTCAAAGATTAAGGAACAACACAATCTGCAACATTAACTGAATTAGATAATTTTAGCTTAGCTTATACCATCCGTTATACATTAAACGCGCATTCGTAAACGTATTTTGCGCACGCGCACACGAATATTCACAGCCATAAAGGTTTTACGCGCATGCCTCGACGAGACGCATGCGCAGAAAGTTTAGCTTTGAGGTCTTGATTATACATCATTCCGGATTATGGGTGTCCGAATGAGCGACTTTTGACTGTATTATATAAAACACCTTTACTTCACTGAGTTTTAGACAAAAGTGACTTTATAAAATAAAACTTTAGTCAGTGGCTCTTGATTAATGTATGAATGACTAATTGAAGTAATTATAATTACATTTGGGGGTAAAAAAATATGTGTCTAAAGCAGAAACTGTGTTTTAAAACACTTTTATAAACTTCAGTTGCTTATTAATTTTTTAAACAACTGCTTCCTTTTTTTTAAATGTGATATTTATTTTAGTAATCTTGTAAATCCTACATACATTGAAACAAAAAATATATATTTTTTACTATATTAATAAAGCAGTTATATTAAGGGAAGTTCATACATCATGCAAAAAACTTTATGGTGTTCTACCCCTCAAAAAATTCATTCTCTAAAATCGAAGTATGCAATTATGAATTTTTAATTATCATTCAACAAAATTATAACTAAGGAAAATTATATATATATATATATATATATATATAATGATCCTTTTCTGGCATATCCTATTCTTATCCTCTAAAGCAAGGATGTCAAATTCGCGGCCCACAACAAATATTTTTGCGGCCCGGCCAATATATCGGCAAATAATAATATATAATAAAATAACATATCGACGAAGAAAAAAATGAAACGTTTACTGCTAAGTAATTAACGATAATTTATTCAGTGTTGTTAGATTACTCACAGCCAGCTGACACACACACACACTACTTAAATTACAAATGCGTGTGAGTAGCTTGCGTTCAGCTACCTTCGGCTTTTGGGGGACACGTGCACTCAGAACTTGTACGCATCCCCCGATAGCTGAATGTGGCCGAACTCATAATCTCAGTTTTCCAATCATAGTTTTGTACGATATATTGGTGCATGCACTTTGCTTTATTATTAATCATTACTTAATTCATATTGTTACGGATTTCATACTTATTTATTTAGTTAGTTTGTTTTATTTAGAATTGTAATTAGATTTACTTCATGTTGCCTTAGCAACGCAGACGATTTTTGAAAAGACAGCTGCGTTGGAAGGTTAAAAATAGCACAGCGCGTGCATTTAATAATACCTAATAAATAAATATCTTCGTAATTGCTGTTGCCATCCACAAAAATCCAGATATTTATAGATGTTTCCAGTTATATTCGAGAAATTAATATAAAGCTTATAAAGCCGAGAACAAACAACTCATCTCAGGAGTAGCTGTAGTTCTAGCGAACTGTTTTGTTACTTAATGCTGTGATTGATTTGTAGCGATTCACTTGAGTAGAATTAGTTTCTCTGTTTTGAATTGATTTTTGCTAAACGTTTGACATTTGTGATATTTTTAGAATATTTTTGAAGAAATTTTCAGCATTTTGATTTATCTCTTGTGGAAAGAATAATTTTTGTTAATTTTTTAACGTTAACCGTGTTTATTCCAGCCCTTTGTATTTAGTATGTCTATATCAAAACCAAATGGTAGTAAAATTAAATGAAAAATCGCTGACGAACATAGAATATTCCAAGTAAAATGGGAATTAGAATATTTTTGCTGTGAAGTAAAAGATAAAATAATCTGCTTGATATGTAATAATACTATTAATGTACCAAAGTTATATAATATTAAACGTCATTACGAACAACACAAATCGAAATACAACAATTACGAAGGATTAATGAGAGAAGAAAAGTTGAAAGAGCTCAAGTTAGGAGTGAAAAAGCAACAGTCCATGTTAGTAAAGTGTTGCAAGAAAGTGAAGCGGCGTACGTACATGCAAGCTACGTCTTGTCCGAGTTGAGTTGATAGCTAAACATTCGAAGCCTTTTACTGACGGTGATTTCATCAAGGAATGCCTAATGAAAGCTGGAAGAAATTGTTTGTCCTGGAAATGTGAAGGCTTTTCAATCAATTTCATTGTCTCGAAATACAGTTGCGGAAAGAGTTACCGATTTAGCCGTGAATTTAAGTGATCAGATCAAAGCAAAATTATCTAGTTTCGAAAGTTCTCCATTGCC